AGAGAGAGAGAGAGAGAGAGAGAGAGAGAGAGAGAGAGAGAGAGAGAGAGAGAGGAAAATCAAATGGTACCGCTAGAACATGGAAATATACATTGCGCACATGCGCGCAGCACACCAGACGTGCACTGCGCACCCAGATGCACGACGCGCGCCGGTGCGCGCGCACCCTGGGTCCGCTCACAGCGCACTGCGCAGCACACAGTGCCAGTGCGCCCCAAGTATGCTATGAACAGATGCAAGTAATCCTGAACGAACAAAAAAAGGTACCTTAAAGACTGAATAAGAAAGTGGCAGTGTGACCAGCGGGCCTAGCTCAGTCGGTGCACCCAATGAACTGTTGAAATACAGACCCAAGTTCGAATGCAGTCACGAAATCACTTTTGAATCAAATGACCAAAATAACATAATTCTGAATTACCTGGGGCCGGTCAGAGTTCAATGATGATATCTGAAGGCCGTCGCCCTTCGGGGAAAAAAAGAAAAAAAAGAAAAGGAAGTGGCACTGTTTAGAAAGAAGTTCCAAGAATTCGACGGACATGGAATGACTGAATGAATACAAGCGGTAGCTAATACCCAGGGCGTCAAAGATGGATTTTCTCTACGGGATGATTGGGATCCCAAAACCACCAACCGCCCCAACCTGGCTCATGATAAGCCCGCCAAACTCCGAGTAGTATTCCCTACAGCTACAGTTAAGCAACGGCAGCGCGTTAAGATCCAAATTCGTATCAGTTTTCAATAGGCACTTCGAAGAGGTCGCGTTATGGTGCGAAGCACAGTACGTAAGATCACCATTACCTTCCTTTTTCCACAGTGATCTTTCAGCTTACAGATTCTGTAAAGGGGGAATCCATCCAGACCTCAGAAGAACATGACCCCTAGAGGAGGTGAAGGCCCCGAAGGGTGGTGGAAATCAGGAAGAAAGTGTCAAAAAGGTTGGGGCACAAAAATACGGGGCTGAAAGGGGTTGAAAAATGAAATTTTGTGGGGTTAGAAAACTGCAAGCAACAGCCAGGTGGGGATGCTACATTGGAAGTCCTTTCTTTTTTTTTAATCGATGGCTCGGAGATCTCTTCAATTCACATTAAGTATCACATTTTGCCACGCTCTTCATCATTGCTAGGGCCAAGGTATCATTGTGAGGGCCAAGGTATTGGCTTGCTGACAGTTTTTATTTTGTAGTGTAGGAGAAAAAAAGTGAGGTGGGTTGGTGGGAAAGAGGAGGGGGGGGGGATGAAGAAACAAGGAGGGAGAGGGAAGGGAAGGGAAGAGTCCTGGGACCCAGGGTGGTGGTGAGAAAAAAAAAGCGGTTTCAAAAGTGCGAAAGGCTGGTCTTGACTGATTTGCTGTGGAGGTATTGTGCATGGCATGGTTTTAACTTCGCATTCTGAAATTTTGAATCGTAAACTTTTTTTGACGGCAGGTGCGGCAACCATATCTGCATCCAAGGGTGATTGAATTTGCCAAAACATGTACAAAAGCCCATTTAGTAGGAGAGGCAAACATGGATGTTCCTGCGCATATCGACCGGCCCAAGGATTCAATTTATGGCAAGTTGATCCTACGGCAAGCCTTCCCCGGTGTGCATTCAGCTTGGCGACGCAAAGATCCAATTGAGGTACCACTTTCTTCTCTTTAAATCCCCCTTCTCCCCACTTAAATCCCTTACGTCCTCTGTCTCCTCCCTTCCTTGCTCGTCCTCCTGCCCCCTTTCCGCTAGCCGTTTCACATTGCGGATCCTCAGTTTGTAAACTTTGTATGTACATCGCCCAACTGGGCATGTATCACAATGCTTAGCCCATGTTTGCCAGCCTGGCACAAAATTGTGTTGCTTTGGATGATTTGTTTATTGATCACTGCACATGTCAGCAACTCTTTTTTTTTTTTTTTTTTTTTTTTT